GTTGCATATATTTCAGTTTCTCCTCAAATTTCTGTGGTTTGGGGTTTTTTTAAAAAAAAAATTAAGAGAGGGACAACCTGTGTTTTTGCAAACTGAAATTTAAGAACATGAGAAGCCAATGTTGGATCAGGCCAATGACCCATCCAGTCCAACACTCTGTAACACAGTGGCCAAAAATACCAGGTGCCATTAGGAGGTCCAGCAGTGGGGCCAGGACACTAGAAGCCTTCCCACTGTTGCTCCCCACCCCAGCACCAAAATACAGAGCATCCCTTGCCCCAGACCGAGAATTCCTTGTGGCTAATAGCCACTGATGGAACTCTGCTTTATATGTTTATCTCTCCATATGTTTATATCTCTACTGCAAGTCCCCATTGTGGACTTGTATACAGGGTAACATGTAGTTTAGCTAGGGTTGCCAACCTCCAGGTGAGATAAACACAGAAAACAGAGCTGTGGTCCCAGAAAAAATTATGCCTGAAGAAGATTTGTTCGAAACATGCAGGTTATGCCCGGGAGGCGTGTTGCTAGGCCTGCTTGCTTGCTGAATCACCTCATGGGAAAATACATCTACTAGGCTTGCTTGCTAAGCTGAATCATCACAGTGAGAAATACAAGCTGCCTGCTAGCTTTACCTGATGGATCATCACTTGGGAAATGTACAATAGGTTGCTGCATTGTTCGGTACAAATAACTGTACATTGGTATTTATCCTCCATCAGGGAGAAGACAGTTGGACTCTTCACGTTATATAACCTAGTTTGAAAGTGTTTGAAATGTGATGTAGTTTGAAAGTGTTTACAATATACTAGAGTTGATGTTGTGTATACAAAGCAAATATATTTAGCTATAAGTACATGTGAATATTGTGTTTATTATTTCAACACGGGGTTTTCTGTGTTTATCTAACTTAGCCGTGTTCCCTGTGTGCTTGTTGTTGAACCTCCAGGTGAGGCCTGGAGATCTCCCATTATTACAGTTGATCCTCTAGATGACAGGGTTCAGTTCCGCTAGAGAAAGCTGCTTTGGAGAGTGAACTCTATGGCACTGTACCCTGCTACTACCATCTCTCCCCTTCTCGAACCTGACTCTCCCCAAGCTCCACCCCACAAATCTCCAGGTATTTCCCCACCCAGAGCTGGCAACCCTAAGTTTAGCCCTCAGGCAGAGAGGTGAGGCTCTACTGTTAAGCAGAACCAGAGCACAAAGTGGAGCAAAGTCTTGTTCCTAGAGCTGCCAACTTCAGGTTGAGAAATTCCTGGAGATTTGGGGGTAGAGCCTGGGGTGGGCACGGTTTGGGGAGTGGAGGAGATTTGGGGGTAGAGCCTGGGGTGGGCACGGTTTGGGGGAGTGGAGTGACCTCAGTGGGCTATAATGATTGACTGAGAAGGCACCTTCTTCCACTGGAGCATGCTTCCTTTAGCTGAGTGGACTGAGAAAGATAACCCATCACATCTAACATTTCTATCACTCCTTTTAGATATCCACAGAGTGTAAGAACAAACACACATTGAGAAACACACTGCCCATCTACATATGAAATATGAATTCCAAAGGGCAAGGTAAGTTCACTTTTCTCCTTGTTGGTTTGTGTGTGTGTTTGCGTGTGTGAGAGATAGACTCAGGGCTATTTTACGCACAGGAACAGAGTTCCAGCTAGCTGCCGAGTTGGCCATGCCCAGCAGGAACTCATTAGCATAATAGGCCACACCCAACAGCAGAAACTCATTAGGATTGGCTACGTTACGGATGTGTGGCCTAACAGGCAAAGGAGTTCCTGCTACAAAAAAAGCCCATGGTTTTGACAACAAACAGGGTAAACAGAATAAGAAGCAAAAGGTGGGTCTGGCTGGATGACTACACTTCTGGTAATGTGGGGGTGCGGCCTAATATGCTAATGAGCTGTGTTGTCAGGGGTATGGCCTAATATGCTTATGAATTTCTGCTGTTGGGTGTGGTCTATTATGCTAATGAGTTCCTGCTGGACTTTTTCTACAAAAAGAGCCCTGGATAGACTTAATTCCACGCACCCCATTGTTTTGAGGCTAGAATTTGGGAAATTAGATCACAGATCACCTGTGCAGAGTGTTGTTTGGCCTCAAACACAAAAAGGAGTGCGCTTTCTGGATTTCCCCCCCACTACATCAATATTGTACCCTCAGTGGCTAGATATGTATTGGGAATAACATAATTAATTCATCATCACTTTTCTAGAGAAATAATGACATCGTGAATTAAGGGCACCACGTTTCTATGTTAAAGCGATAAGCATCTTCACCTGCCAGATCACAGAAAGATATTACAAATAGTACTGGAATTGTAAGCCGAATGGCAATACAAAATTTATTTATTTATTTTATTTCATTTGTACCCCGCCCTCCCCGCGTGCGGGCTCAGGGTGGCTTACACAGTACAACAGTACAGTAAAAATAGCACAATAAACAATTTAGGCACACAAGTGCAATAAAATTAAAAATTATCCACTTAAAATACAGTACAATCTTACCGGATGCATCAATAGTTAAAAATACCCACTCGTTACTTTAACTGCCCGTGAGGCCAACAAGATCATTCATTAATGATTTGGAGTTGGGAGTAAGCAGTGAAGTGGCTAAATTTGCGGATGATACAAAGTTGTTCAGGGTGGTGAAAACCAGTGAGGATTGTGAGGCACTCCAAAGGGATCTGTCAGCCCCGTCTTACAGGCCCTGCGGAACTGTAAAAGGTCCCGCAGGGCCCTGATCTCCTCTGGGAGCTCATTCCACCAGGTAGGAGCCGCCACCGAAAAGGACCTGGCCCTTGTGGCAGCAAGCCTGGCCTCTTTAGGCCCCGGGGTCACTAGGCGGTGTTGTGACCCCGACCGAAGTGCTCTTTGGGGCCTATATGGGGAAAGGCGGTTCCTTTAGCAATAGCAACAGCAACTATGATAATTCCTTGTAGGGAACATGAGCTCTTCCTGAATTGGTGTCTGCCTGGGGGTGATGGAAGGGACTTTGCACTGAGCCTTGTTTTTCCTGCTTTGCACATGAGCCAAGTAGGATATAACTAGATTTAACTTAAAGACTATTATGCACTATCTATCTGATAGTGGAACTTGGAACGACTGCTACTGTGCGGCAGTTCAGGTCAAATGATGCTGCTGACTGTTAGGTCCAGCTTGGATAGGATTACCAATTTTTGAAGTGTTCTTTGTACTTGCTCTTTTCACAACTTTTTTTTTTTTGGCTGTCAAGTCGCAGCTGATTTATGGAAACCCCATAGGAGCCCGCTCGCGGGGAGGGCGGGGTATAAATATAATGAAATAAAATAAATTAAATAGGGTTTTTAAGGCAAGAGGCATTAAGAGGTGGTTTGCCATTGCCTGCCTATGCATGGTGACTCTGGTATTCCTTGGTGGTTTCCCATCCAAATAGTAATCAGGGCCAATCCTGCTTAGTTTCCGATATCTGATGATATTGGGCCAGCCTGGGTTATCCCAGGTCAGGGCACATAACCTCTACCTAACAACAAATGATTATAGTGGAAATAGATCTGGGTGGTAGTGGATCCCTATTCTGAATGGGATTGCAATCCCTCTGAAGGATCCCATGCATAATTTATGGATGCTTCTGGACCAAGTGCTGCTCCTGGAGCTTCCATAAATTATGCATGGGATCCTTCAGAGGGATTTCAAGAAGTGCAGTTTATCACCAGAAACTGATTGACCCATTGCATACCACAGCAAAAAATCTGTGGCCTAGCTACAGTAATACACACTTTGGAAAACTTCAGGTGGAATTACTAACACATCTTTTAAGTGGTGATTTTTGAAAACTGTTTAGAAATGCCATTTGGATCAATATGTGGTAACATACTTACCAGCTAGCCATTGCTACGACTACGAGACTATACCACCTTTGTCAAAAGCCAGGCTGATGACAACAAAGAGAATGGCCTCTTCTGTAGTGGCACCTTCCTGTAGGGAGCCATGTAGAACAAAGGAATGAAATAAAGACAATGGTTTGATCGCCAGCAACCAGCTGCTGATAACGTTTAGCTCCATGACATGAAAATCTCCAGTTGCTAAGTTCTGCATCTCAAACCTCTATGGAAAGCGGAGGAGTAGACCAAGCTCTCCCCTTTCCCCAGCTAATGGCAATTCTATTGCCAGCCCATCTTCAGCATTATTAGGCCAATATGTACATCCAGACCGGCTCCGATTAAGTGGCAGGGTGTGCAACTTAGGTATGGGCCAGATGTTAATTTTCATTTCCTTTGAGCCCCCAGGGCACCACCTTGGGGACCCTAAGTTAGATGTAAAGGTGGCTTTAAAACTGGGTTGCCATCCTCCAGGTGGTGGCTGGAGATCTCCTCAAATTACAACTGCTCTCCAGGTGACAGAGATCAGTTCCCTTGGAGAAAATGGCTGCTTTGGAGGGTCACTTCTTTGGCATTGTACTCCACTGAAGCCCCTCCATTCCCCTAACCCCATTGTCCTCAGGATCCAACCCCCCCATCTCCAGGTATTTCCCAACCCACAGCTGGCAACCATAAACGTTTTAAACACATCAAATAAATACCTGTCTCCAAAATTCTGCCAAGAAACCATGGCCTCTCAAATCCTCTAGCAGTTACATTTCAGAATGATCCCCTTCCATCTGCAACCCAGGGCACACTTAACTCGGGAGAAAGCCCCATCAAACAGTGGGATTTACTTCCGAGTAAACGTGCCTCGCCCTATCGTCCCCCCACCCTTTACACTCTACCCCCCTCTCCCCCCAATCGGTATTTTTTCACCTGCTAGTTTAGCATCACTCACAACCTAACTCAAGCCTGCAAGATCTCATTCCCACTCCGGCAGCTTTTTTCTCATTGGCTGCGTCCGGCTGTCGGTCAGAGCGCGGCCCGGGCGTTTGCTCCCGGGGAGAGGCGGGACTGAGGCTGCTCGGCGTCGAGCTGTCACCGGGAAGGA